AAAGTAAATAGCCAAGATGATGCAGAACGAATGACAGCTGTTTTATGAAAACTTGACAGGAGGATACGTCTCTGGTTCTGCTGGATTTTCTATAATGATTTATAACAAAATCCTTAAGAAAATTAAAAACTGAAGCAAGTTTATCTTCATATGGATGGTAAAGTGTAGTTACACTGAACTTGTACAATTTTCATGCAGCATCTGGCCAGTACCTTTATTAGATTATATGAATGGTAAAAGGTCTATAACTGAAATGGTGCCTTCTAGGGTTCTAAAACCCCCCAAGGTGCCTTACAACATGACCGGTAACTCACCCATTTACACACACTGGTGGTGATGAGCTACAATGCAGCCACAGCTGCCCTGAAGCGCACTGACAGAGGTGAGGCTGCTGCACATTGGCGCCCTCTAACCACCAGCAGGTAAGGTGGGTCAAGTGTCTTGCCCAAGGACAGGGCTCTGACCTGCAACTCTCCGGTTACGGGGAGGGTATTAACTCCTCTGCCACCGTCGTCCCAAATGACCCCGATGAATGTTGGGCTCATTTGATGCAAACGATAGACAAATGAAATACCAAGCGACAAGGGCGTCAGTTTGTTTTCAGAATTGCTGGGGACAATAACCATACACTTGAGTGGGGTTTAAAAATAGCTGGGGACAATAAAGTAGGCAAGCACAGGGGTCGGCGGCTCTGTAGCCGCATGCGGCTCTTCCATCCATCTGATGCTCTGTGCTTGTAAAATAATGAATGGATATTTAAATAAAAAGCTTTATATTTTACTGCATTAATTTTACATCTGTATGCTAATTCTAAATGTAAAGATTGTCTGAGTAAACCTGAACAGGTCCAACCCGGTCTTACTGTGAGACCGGGTTGACGCGTCACGCTTGTGCGTAATCATATGCGCTTCCTGAGCTGGAGAGGATGTGAGATTCTGGGCTTCTCCTCAGACGGCTCCTGGATGCGTCGCCACATTGGAGACAGGAACAAGCGCTATTCAGCCAAAGTTTCATAATCAGGGAACATTTTCTAAGTGACAAGTCTCTCTGAGAGACAGGGTTTGGAAAACACTCGCTTCAGTGGGAGGAACCTTCTCACATGCGCTCTGGTTCTGAGAGCCTGGATTTGTATTCTGAACAGTCTAAACATGTTTTTAAAAGAAACGTATGACAAAAGTGGCACCTGCTCAGTAAAACCACCAACAGGGTGAAAAATATCAAAATATTGTAGGCAGAGACGGGCTACAACTTCTGGATCATCTTTATATAAATCGTTTTATGATTATCTTCTTATGAAAGATAACTTTGACGTACACGAGCGACCAGGCGCGTTGCAAGATTTTCAAAAGTGTGGGAGATGTTGTCTGTGCCTAAAATAATTTGATGTTATTCACCTTGTTAGTTTAATTTCCATAATAGCAGAGCAGGTGCGAATTTTAGACGCGTCATGCATGTCTCCGTTTGAAACATGTTTAAACTGTTCAGAATACAAATCCAGGCTCTGTCTCGTTAGATTGGTATAACTAAAGTTTGTACTGAATGAAACTTTACATTAAACCATGTTGAAAAGAAAAGGATCCGATTAAATCGTTTCCCCCTCATTTACAGTCATGACGTACAGCGCAGTGCGCGTGGCTCTGGGGTTAATCAAGTTTAGTTGTTTCTCTTTGCAACAATCTTCACAAGAAGGCAAAACAGTTAAATGGCAGGTTACAGATATTTCCATTTGACTGTATTCTGACGGATAAACTCAAGGATGCTGGCTGTTTTGAAAGAATTACCCCGACGCACACTGATGCGCATGGATGAGCTTGGAAAAAATGTTCTTTTTATGAAATTATTCAACTTTGGCTGAACAGCGCTTTTTCCCGTCTCTAATATGGAGACGCATGACGCATCCAGTCTGAGGCAGAACAGCCTCTTCAGCTCAGAAAGCACCTGTACAGGTGCTGGCCAGTAAATTAGAATATCATCAAAAGGTTGAAAATATTTCAGTAATTCCATTCAAAACGTGAAACTTGTACATTATATTCATGCAATGCACACAGACCAATGTATTTCCAATGTTCATTACATTTAAATTTGATATTCATAAGTGACAACTAATGAAAACTCCAAATTTGGTATCTCAAAAAATTAGAATATTCTGAAAAGGCTGAATATAGAAGACACCTGCTGCCACTCTAATCAGCTGATTTACTCAAAACACCTGCAAAGGCCTTTAAAAGGTCCCTCAGTCTTGTTTTGAAGGCACCACAATCATGGGGAAGACTTCTGACTTAACAGCTGTCCAAAAGACAATCATTGACACCTTGCACAAGGAGGGCAAGACACAAAAGGTGATTGCTAAAGAAGCTGGCTGTTCGCAGAGCTCTGTGTCCAAGCACATTAACAGACAGGCGAAGGGACGGAAAAAATGTGGTAGAAAAAAGTGTACAAGCTCTAGGGATAACCGCACCCTGCAGAGAATTGTGACGACAAACCCATTCAAAAATGTGGGGGAGATCCACAAAGAGTGGACTGCAGCTGGAGTCAGCGCTTCAAGAACCACCACGAGGAGACTCATGAAAGACATGGGATTCAGGTGTCGCATTCCGTGTGTCAAGCCACTCTTGAACAAGAAACAGCGCAAGAAGCGTCTCGCCTGGGCCAAGGACAAAAAGGACTGGACTGATGCTGAGTGGTCCAAAGTTATGTTTTCTGATGAAAGCAAGTTCTGCATTTCCTTTGGAAATCAAGGACCCAGAGTCTGGAGGAAGAGCGGAGAAGCACAGAATCCACGTTGCATGAGGTCCAGTGTAAAGTTTCCACCGTCAGTGATGGTGTGGGGTGCCATGTCATCTGCCGGTGTTGGCCCACTCTGTTTCCTGAGGTCCAGGGTCAATGCAGCCGTCTACCAGGAAGTTTTAGAGCACTTCATGCTTCCTGCTGCTGACCAACTTTATGGGGATGCAGACTTCACCTTTCAACAGGACTTGGCACCTGCACACAGTGCCAAAACCACCAGCACCTGGTTCAAGGACCATGGTATCCCTGTCCTTGATTGGCCAGCAAACTCGCCTGACCTTAACCCCATAGAAAATCTATGGGGTATTGTGAAGCGGAGGATGCAATACGCTAGACCCAACAATGCAGAGGAGCTGAAGACGACTATCAGAGCAACCTGGGCTCTCATAACACCTGAGCAGTGCCACAGACTGATCGAGTCCATGCCACGCCGCATTACTGCAGTTATTGAGGCAAAAGGAGCCCCGACTAAGTATTGAGTGCTATACATGCACATTCTTTTCATGTTCATTCTTTTCAGTTGGCCAACATTAGAGAAACAAACATTTTTTCATTGGCCTTTAGAATATTCTAATTTTCTGAGATACCAGATTTGATGTTTTCATTGGTTGTCACCTATAAATATCAAAATTAAACGTAATAAACATCGGAAATACATTGGTCTGTGTGCATTGCATGAATATAATGTACAAGTTTCACGTTTTGAATGGAATTACTGAAATATTTTCAACCTTTTGATGATATTCTAATTTACTGGCCAGCACCTGTAGAAACATTTGATTACGCACAAAGTTTATGTGGAGCAGAAGCGGTCGGGCCACGGCAGGTGAAACGTTCCTAGCCTACATGAAGTGAAACTGTTTAATTGTAACATTAATATGTTACTGGACATGCTAGTCTGGTTGGTTAGACCAGTGTTGGAAGTGGAAAACACACACACACACACCAATTAAAATAATGCTGATAGCATGGACTAGAAGACAGGTGATGGTTTTATTTAAATGATGATCAGGCTGCTGTAAAATGTAATCTCCATCCACATCCAGACAGAATTATCCTCTATTCTATTTGCTCTGCTCTTGTCTGGGCTGACGTAGCTGGTGGTGCGCGCGGCGCGCCTAACGGCTGTGGTGCACATTTTACGCATTTGGAGAGATGGGCTGGATCCTTTGCTTTTACTGGAAGATGGTCCACTTAACGCACGGTTGTAGACTACATATTAATGACAAATGAATGAAAATTAAATTGGGAGTTTTTACTTCATATTTTAGAAATAAAAATGACGGGGGAACACATTTATGACGTCTTTTTAAACAACATTTTATAGCGCGACCTGCCTGCTTCACTTAAGTCACTGCTTATTAAGGTCCGTCCAAAATTACCGTGGCCCACCCAAAAATGAAAACCTGGCGCTGTGCCTGTTATAAACCTCTGCAAATTGTTGTTCTTCACGTTATCAAACTCAGACTTTGTACAGCTAATGTCAAGATGTAAAATTATGAATTCAGTCGAGCTCTTCCGTCCCTCCCTCTCCTGCTCTCTGGAAACCCGACATCAGCTGTCAGAAGCGGGAGGTGAAGAAGGAGATGAGGCAAACAGAGTGAGTGCGACGTAAAAAAACCAGACTGGTGTGGAGGTGAGCAAAACAGCTGGAAAAGTGTGGGTGTTGAATCCCCCACGGGTGCGATGTCTATGCAAGCGACCGGTACCTGCTGCTGTCACTTGGTTGTGAGCAGCCCTCTGCTGTCTGAGGGTAGGCCCCGCCCACAACGCTGCGGCTACTGCGGTGTTTTCTTTACTGTGGGAAATGGGTAATAATGGCTCTTTGATGGGAACAGGTTGCCGACCCCTGGTATAAGATCTGAGCTGGTAAAACAAAAATCCTCATCAGCAGGCTTTTTTGAAAGTGGGGGGGGACACAGCTGCCAATCACAAATTTTGCCGGGGACATGTCCCCGGCGTCCCCGGTTAAAATGACGCCTATGCCAAGCGATCCCTGGAGGAACTAATTTCACTGAGTTGCCTTTTCCTTCAGCTAGTGAGTGATGATAAACGATGGATCTGGAGAAGCTGTTTGTCTCCATCGAATCAGGAATGGTCACTTTCTTAATCCTCCTCCTGCTACTGAACCGTATTCATGACAGTCAGACCTGTGTGTGACCTGAACTCTTTCTGAGATTATTATAGGAGGAAGGACAGAACAGATTCATTACCATCGCTGAGGGAACAGGGAGCAGGCTGCAGGCACCATGAACACCAAACTTTAAAAGAGAAGACAGATCAAAAGTTATAATGAAAACTATGGAGGTTATTAAAGATCCCTCTGACCCCGTGACCCTTTGTACTTACAACACTCCCACCAACATGACTTGAATTGGTCCGTGGAGGAACGTGATTCTCTGTGAACACAGAAAACGACTTGAAGACCGATGAACACATTACCAGCGGCGTGGAGATCAGGACAAAAATCTGACCTGCATGAATTTGTATTTTTCCAGCCTCTGCATGACGATGGGGAGGATGACTGAGAGGCAAAAAGAAGGGTATTAGGAAAAGAACAAGATAAAGCTCAACACGCCGTCCGTAAAAATGACTCTTTTTCTTTCCGTACTCATTCCTGGCGCTGCCATGGTGATCCGTGAGATGACCACCTGCGTGATGCCTTTCACAGCTGCTTTCTGCAGAACAGAGCCGGAGCTCAGGGTTAAATAAAGAAAAACTAAAAAAAAAAAAAGTTTGAGTTAATGCCATCTGCTTTTAAATGAGTGATGAAAAACAACATGACCCTAACCTAATTTAGACCTGTGTTGACAGCAGCAAAGGTTCCAACCCAGATTTATATTGCCCTGTTTTATACAGACGAAGACGGAAGTTTTAAAAGGTCAGGTTTTCATGTTACAGTAACACCCATCTGGATGTGAGTTAACTAAATTAGTTCAAAGTGGTTAATTTATGTCGTCGTCTTCCTCCGCTTATCCGGGTCGGGGTCGCGGGAGCAGCATCCCAACTAGGGAGCTCCAGACCGTCCTCTCCCCGGCCTTCTCCACCAGCTCCTCCGGCAGGACCCCGAGGCGTTCCCGGGCCAGACTGGAGATGTAACCTCTCCAACGTGTCCTGGGTCGACCCGGGCCCCCCCGGGTTAATTTATGTATTTAATAAAATGCATGATGGCATGTTTCATCCTTGAACCAATAAACATGTAACCCCCCCCACCCCACCCCACCCACCCACCCCCCACCCACCCCGATAATTGACTGAATTACTATTAAGGAGGCTTTAGCATTAATAGAAAAGTGACGTAGAGATCCACCAAAAAACATAATAATCAATGGGTGCTGGAATCAGCTTGATCAGTTAACCAGGTAGTCTGAAACACAAATATCTTTTTGGGGGGATAAATTTCGATCAGGGTTGTTCAACAAGCAGATTGGCAGCAGTCCTTAGAACCAGGATTGATGCATCTTCACAACAAAACAAGCATTATTTTGTAGGTCAATATAAATAAACACTGTAATTAAAGTGTATTAGCCTGGAAGGTGCCGACCTTGGAGTGACCCAGTTTGTTGCCGTTTTCATCGGTGACAGCGATGCCATTCAGAATTTCCCTGAAAATAAAAGATAATCAAGCAGAGAAAAAAAAGGCAGTTTAAAACCAATCATTCCTAACCCAGTTATTTGGAAAACTGTGGTTTTAGCTCTTTGTAAAAGGCAAAGGATCCAAAATCTCAGTGGAGGTTGTGTTCTTTTAGATGACGTTGTAACGTGATGTAAGTGGTTCCATATCTCTTAACTTGGCCAGTGCCCTTATCACAAGACGCCTCTACAGGAGACAAGACTTTTATCTAACCCTTTTAATAAAGATATCTTGTGTTTGTCTCATAAAATCATTATTTATGTTACAGGTTAAGAACAAATAAATTAGCAGGATGAGCCTTGCCGCTGCAGCTTTATAACAATGCTTCACCCATCACACTCAAACAGACGAAACTCTCACAATGGGACCATATTGGTTATCCTGTGAAAGCATGTGGAGATATTAGACCTGGAGATGCAGCAATGGTAATATATCCACAAACAAACGTTTTGTGTGTTTTAGTTAGACGGCATGAACTAAAGCATGTAACAGGCAAGAGACTTCCTTTTTTATACCAACATATGCATCTGTACAGGCACTGCTCCACACATTCACACACTCTAATATAGAAGATTACTGCTCCCTCACAAAGAGCTCCAAACAGTTTGTCTTTTGTACATTTGAGCTTCATCCGTCACTATAAGTGCATCACTGACTCATGATGTGATTTGTCTCGAGAGGATCTGTAATCTCACAGGAAATTAAATTCATCAGAGGAAGCCAGAAAGAGTTCAGCCTGCATCACAAATAACTTCACATTGAGATTTTAGCTAGTTAACTGATAGTAAAACTCACTGCTGCCTCATCATGGGAATGTTCACACAGTTAGCTGCTGCCACGGCTGCAAAAGGAACCCATCGAGCCACAAGAGGAGGGGCTCTCTGCAGAGGGGAAAAGAGAAAAATCATCAAAAATGTAACTGAAATGGCTGGAAATGCCTCTTTTTTTTGGGGGGGGGGGGATCTTGAATTTCTTTCTAATCTATAAACTAAACGCAACAATAAACTTTCACGCTTACAGATGTGGACAAAATTGTTGGTACTCTTCATTCAATGAAAGAAAAACCCACAATGGTCACAGAAATACCTTGAATCTGACAAAAGTAATAATAATTTTTTTTAAAATCTATCAAATTTAACCAATGAAAGTCAGACATTGCTTTTCAACCATGCTTCAATGGAATTATTTTTAAAAATGAATTCATGGAACAGGCCTGGACAAAAATTACTTAATATTTAGTTGCACAACCTTTTGAGGCAATCACGGCAACCAGACAATTTCTGTAACTGTCAATGTGAATTCCTAACTTCTCAGCAGGTATTTTGGCCCATTTCTCATGAGCAAACCTCTCCAGTTGTCTCTGGTTGGAAGGGCGCCTTTTCCAGATGACATGTTTCAGCTCCTTCCAAAGATGCTCAATAGGATTGAGGTCAGGGCTCATAGAAGGCCACTTTAAAATAGTCCAATGCTTTCAGCCCGGACCATATGTTGCAATTTTTGGCCGTCATGCTCCAGAAAGGTGGCACACTGTGCGACACAAGATTTCAGTGAGGCACTCTCCAGCAGAACACGCTACTTCATGAGTGCACCTTCCGAAAGCATACAACACTAAGCAGACCACTAACCAAGACAAAGCTGAAAAGATAAAAACACCAATTTTTTGTGTCAGTTCATGACCCAGCTCATCTTCCTCAAAGAGGAAGCATCGTTTTAAAAAACCTCTCTTTGGCGTTAGACTCTGGCTGCAGGTCTTCTTTCCTGTCTTCCAGCTAAACAGCTGAGCTGGTCATTCATCCTTCTCATCCTCCTTTATAGATAAAACCCCACTAAACTACAGAGAAGTAACAATCTGTCTCTGCTATTAACAAAAATAAAAACTGGTGTGTAGTTTATAATCTGCATTTTAAACATAAAATGAAACCGAAGCTCAGAGAGGTGGAGTCTTGCTGCTGCGGCATCCCTAAGGTGTGTTTTCATTGGTCAGTTGCAGACAGGAGTCGTAGGTTTTCAAGCGGTACTTTAATCAGTCCTTATCCTGTACGATTTGTCTCTGAACATGGTGCTGGAACACGTCAGCAGTGAACAGACATCTCAATGGCTGGAAAATTGGTCCTGTTTTTGCAATACCACCTCTGAAAACCAGAGTTCGCCTAGATTGTCCGTGTTCCATAGTCAACCTTTAAGTGACCAGCCAGCACCATGTCCAATGACTAATCGTACAGGATAATGACTAATTTCTACTAATCAATTTATTTTACAACAGTATTTATTGTTAGAACAGTTTCTGGGCTCAGAATCAGCTGCTTGACTTGTCAAGCCCGCCATTTTACACGGGCCCACTGAGCTGACATTTTAGCACAACGTTGCCCTCTAGTGACTGGTAGATGTAAACATAAGCCCAGTGTCGTGCCCAACAAAATAAAAAATGTATTATTTTTTTAAGTATAGATTTTAAAGGAAAACTATACATTCATTCTGCACACCTCTAATGCCCCCTGGAGGTATTAATTGTTTAGCAATATAGATTTTTATTTAAAATGTTCCATATTCCACCTTTAAAGGGACATTATGGAAGTTTAACAGCCAAAACATGTATAGAAATAATAAATGTCTTCTTCATACATTCTCCTGCAATGTCCTGATCCTGTAGAATGAGCCCTGGCATTTTTACTGTGATTGCCTGTTTTTCTGTAAAATCACAGAAAAAGAGAGCTGCTCGGGTCGAGCAGGCTGCTTCATGCGCGTTCACGCTCAGGCATAGCCCGTAGCATTTGCTATCAGTAGCTTTAGCAGCAGAGAGTGAGGTAGTGCCAACTCAGCGACTGTCGCTGTTCCTAACGCCTAGTGATGAACCTAGCTACATTTTTGAGGACCTTAGCTACTTTCTTTTAGATATTTCCTGCAAATTAGCAACAAAATAGCCATTTTCGCTCCGAACTGTTCTTTGAATGTTGTTTTAGCTGTAATCAAGGATATAAATATTACAGATACTAAAAATGTCAGTGGTGGTTTAGCTCATCTAGTTAGATGTCGGACTCTCATGCAGGAGACCCAGGTTTGATTCTGGGTGAGAACAGTTTATTTAGAGTTTCTTTTTTACATTAATGGTATATTTTTTTACAGTAAGATGCCCAAATTTTTATTTGAGACTCGCCGAACGGCATTGAATTCACAGATAAAAAAGATGTAGTTCAACTTTCATTTTGGAACAATTTTTCAAGCAAGGGAAGGGAATGATCTGAGCATGCAGGAGGACTGACCCATCATAAACCTTTGTCAGCTGTGCTGAAGAGAAAGGTACAGAACCAAATTATTTAATTAATTAGCTGCACGTTCTCCTGCCCTCTGTCCTCCGAGCCACACACACACACACACACACACACACACACACACACACACACACACACACACACACACACACACACAAGGGACTGTCAGCTCTCAGAGCTCTGTGAAGCTGACCCCCGTCAGCTTCACAGAGCTTCGTCTCAGCTGTTATTTTCGTTAAGGAGTGTGCACGTACAGCATGCGCGCCTCGTACACGAGCCTCCTATTGAAGCTGCCGTTACGCTTTTGGCCAGAGGGGGCAATCGCGAGCATAAAAATTCAAAACTCTGTAAAGTCCCTTTAATTAGAGGACACACCCTAAACTAGCATGTCCCTTTGGTCACATTTTTTTCAGTCTTTTCTAGGTGTACCATCATTTCTGTCCAGGCCTGTTCCATGAGTTTATTTTTTTAATAATTCCATTGAAGCATGGTTGAAAAGCAATGTCTGACTTTCACTGGTTAAATTTGATAGAATTTGTATTTAATATTACTTTTGTCAGTTATTTCTGTTTCCAGTTATTTCCGTGACCATTGTGGGTTTTTCTTTCATTGACTGAAGGGCACCAACAATTATGTCCACATCTGCAGATGCTCTGGTCCCCTAACCTCCATTATCTTAAAATGTAGCAGGCCAATCTTTCACAAGGGATAAAATAATAGATGTTTGTTGTTATCTAGATGAGTTTGGTGTCCAAATAAAAACTCTTAGTGCTGCCGCGTGAACTTCTTTGTGTGTGTACCTTAGTATAAAGGTTGAGTCCCACTGCTGTTGCTAAAGCCGTGCTGGTGGCTGTAACGTAAGCTACTCCAATCTGCCTGAAAGACAACAGAGACACGGTTTATGAAGACGTTCCTTTGTAAAACATCAACAACAAATGAAAGTCCTACATTTATGTTAATAAAGCTCCATAAGCACTTGATCATATGTTCTAAACAATAAAACACTATTTTTCATTAATAGGTAGTTCAGGATTGAAATTGCTCAGTTAAAGACGAATGCAGCATTAAGTTGCACCGTTGCAACAGGCTGTTAATTCTGGTCTAAACAGATAGCAGGCTTTAATTCAGTCTTTAATACCAAACATTCTCATTTTCATGATGTTGATTCTCACTAGGGTTGGGTATCGTTTGAATTTGAACAACTCCGGTTTCAATTCCCATTCCTCGTTTTGATTCCGGTTGCTAGCGATTCTCGATTTCGATTCCTTGAAGAAGCAGTGTCAAAAACAGCCAGCTAACCATAGGTCTTACTTTATGAAATAGTGTGACCGTATCTATCAACTTTCATTCTATGAATGTTCTAAAGTGAAGCCACACTTTAGAACGCAGTAACACAAACACTTCTCCAGCAGCAGCAGCTGGAATGGGTGTCACAATCTGTCCTTCGGATGCTCATCTAATCTAACGTTGTTTGTTTCCAACTGAAAATCAAGCAGCCGACGTTGACCTGGGTTGACAGGTGAACTTTGTATCCAAGCTTTAGCACCAGTTGCACACTGGGTGTGTTGAATTCTTACTTTGGAGTGATGGGGGACGCAGCGTTTCTGTTGGTGTAGTTCACCAGAGCATTGAAAGACTGATTCACCCACTGCCAGAACACCACAGCAGGAACTGTCCTGAAATCAGAGCGATAAAACCTCTAAACTCTCCTGTAGTCAATCTGGCAGGAATGCAGCTCGCCCTGCTGGTTTCTACCTATAGAACTGCAGCATGAAGCCCGTGATGGCCATGCCCCCAGGAACCTGAAAGGACATGCGGCCGATGAGGTTCATGCGGTCTCCCGAGTCCGGATGGAAGGCTGAGTCGTACAGCTTCTTTGCATAGTGGAGCTGCTCCACCGAGGTGCCTGGAGGGACGGATCCTGCCCTGCAGAGAGCCACAAAGTCATCATCACAACGCTGGACGCTTTCCTCAAACAAAATGTCTGTAAAAACAACCCAAACACCATTTCTCTGTCTGATGTTTAGAGTTGAAAGTTGACACATTTTATTTTGTAACATAGTTAGTTGGACTTTCTTTTCCTACCTGAAGCTCTCCACTAAAACTTTAGCTTCATCCAGCCGTGAGTCCGGTAAGAGTGCCGTTCGGCAGTCGGTGATGTTGAAGAAGTGCTTCAGTCGCCCCATGAACGTCGACTGGTCCCATCGCGGTGCGTCAATGTCAAATGTGCTTAAATCCATCGTGTTTGGTAAGAAGGAAGAGAGAAATCACTGTGCTGACTCAGCTGGAGGTGAGTCAGGAGATCCAGATGAAACCTGGAGAAACACAAAGCAATATTTAATTATTTGAACATAGATAATGACAACTGGGATGTATTAGATCCTTACTTGTGTGTGGCTGTCAAATTCTTCAAAATGTACACAGGAGTACTAAATGCAATGCAAGTAGGTGTGCAAAATAATCATGGTAAAGTCAATTAGGCCAATTAAACATCAATTATCAGTTTTATTGATGCATTAATAAATAAGTAGAATATAAAGCTGTGGAAGGACTGATTTAGCTCTTTTACCAAACAGATTTAATTTTATTTGTGCTGATTTTAATTCCCTCTTATCATGCAAATAACATTCACTCCAACTGTTGAAATGATTTATTTACATCTTGGTGCAACAGTTCCTCTGAACATCCAAAAGCACAAAGAGTTGAAGGTTTACAGCTCAGATTAGTAAAAGCTAGACACCCAAAGCAGCTAGAAGCTGCCATTTCCCCCGCATACACTAATTCATGAACAAAGACAAACCCTGCTTCCTCTCTTAAAATGTTCTCCAGGGCCAAACCTTCACTACAAATCCTTGACCACCTCTTGCTAAATGGTTCCATAGGCAGTCATTTCTGGTTTTTGCAGCTGCAGCGCTGCATTTCGTAATAAAACAAACCAAAATCTGCTGACTACAGCTCAAAGCACACAAACTCTCCTCTGAACTTGCATGTTTTAGAAGTCTTTGATTGTATTTGTGGAAAGTTTTGGATGAAAATTAAATATGGGTCCCATGAGGAAAAAGAGTGGTATCGTCAACCTCTGAAGGCTCAGCCTGGCTGGAACCGAATTGCTCCTGTTGCTGTTTGCTGAGAAAGTAGGTTAAACGCCTGCAGATGCTGTGGAGAGCAGAACTCAGGCCAAAAGTCAATGTGGCTCAACAAACTAGCACACACACACATGAGAACGTCTGCTATAAACAAGTCAGATTTTGGCTAAAGTAAAACTGGCAAATATAAGCACAGAGTTCTTAATCACATGGTAAAAAAGGTACCAACATTAGATTATGTGCTATGCAAAAATTACTAAATGCAAGTAAAAAAATAGCATGTTTTGTGTTTATATTGTAATTACTGTTGTAGTAAGCTCCACTCATCAGTTGTAAGTCAGAAGAAACTTTCTTTTAATTGTGAGACAGGCTGTTCATTGGTAAACACACAGATAAAATTACTTGCAGCAGAAACAGCGGAAGGATAAAAAAAATGTGAAAACTGTTGACATTTTCTAAACCTCTAAAAGTAAAATTTTGTTGAACCCAAGGTGTTAGTGTTGATATCTGCAGCGCAATAGTCAAAGTGGTCAACCAGTCCAAGTATTAAGGTAATATTTTCACTTGGATGTGGTTGTGTAACGCTACTGTGGGAACTTCTAAGCAATAATCTTAAAGGTCTGTGTTGTTTTAGGTAGATAACTGGAGCTTTATTGATTTCCTGGGGGAGACAGCATAGTTAAAAAACAGATAAAAATCAGAAGAAAGAAAAAAAAATCTAGAGAAACAAAAGCTTTAAAACTAAATGGGATAAATAGCACTGCAAAGGGTATATGCCATGTATAAAGACAAATATTTGCAACTTCAAACATAAACGTATTAACAGTATTGTAAAAATATTTTTTTAGTACACACAGCTGTGTAATAGAGACTGTGTACAAGAGGTGCTGAAAAATGGCAGAAAAGTTAAATAATAAACATTTTGAACTTGTCATGGCACAAAAAAAATTACATGACAACAAAAAGGTGCCATTAATCACTGTAGCTGAGGTCTTTTCCAGGATTGTTGAGGCTTGACAAACTGGATCTGCAGTTCAGGGCAACTGAAAACATCTGGAGGAGTTTACACTCCCCTGTGCGTTCATAAAAGGAGGTAAACGACAACCAAACGGTTTGTGACATGGACTGAACGAGTTTGAGACTTGAGCAGAAAGTAAAAAAAACATGTCTGACTGAGCTGAGTGATGCAATATTAGAGCTCCAGCTACGAGCAGACTACACGGAAACACTAACAGCAAAGCACCGACTCAGCTGGCTGCACCGTAAAGCCATAAAAACAGAAAATATACCTTTGTGAAGATTCCTCAAAGCAACACGGAACAACCTGACAGGTAATCAAATCTGCTCGTAAGCCATGGTAGCAAAAAAAAAATGTGCACGTGGACGCTGTCCTCCAATCAAAAGCCGAGAACCCCCATGTGAAAACCGGTGAAAGCCAAACCGGACACTTTATGTTGACGGACTAATTCCTCAGTAGTTGTATCAAATAATTATCTCTCCAAACAGATCTGTTCTCGTCTTCTTGTCACGATAACGCAAGTAAGCCTGTGTAATTTCTGACATTTCCGAGCGAGTGAAGACAGTCCAAAAAGAGCTAGCATGTAGCTAACCAAACTAGCTCTCCTCGCGGCTAATGCTGCGTTCAGGGTAAATCGTTTGAAACACAAAAATCGTTCGTTACCTACTACTGCAAAATGACTCAGAAAATACAAAGTTTAAACGAAATTAAACGACTAGGTCAAAGTAAAAGAAAACAGTTAAAGACAAAAAATAGAGACCAAAATAAACTCAAAATGGTAACAGAAAAATAACGAAACTTAGTCTAAAAATGTATACATATATTTTTCCAATAAAAAGACGAATTCTGGGATTCAGCGACTTGTGTCCAATTTCACCAGAACATCGTCCAATGATTCAAATCTTTACAACGTAGATTTAAAATGTTCAATTCTGTCAATGCACCTTGAAAGCACCATGAGCGCGGGTTTACTCCGCCCCACCGTACCCTGGGTTTTGCGTCTGACGTCACGGCCTGCAGCGCGTCTCCAGGAGAGAAGGTAACAAGATGGTGAGTTTAGTTAATCTTAATGACAGATTAGATGTAAATATCCTACCTTTTCCTGTACCGATTTGCATTCAGTGGCGCCAACTTTTGTCAAGTTCTAATTCAACGAGTCTTTTTCTCCGCAACTTGAAATAGCAAACCGTTTAGCAGCTAACGCTGCCTTGTTGCTACGTTTGGTTATCAGGGGAGATTAGCTCATTAGCTCATGTTTGTGAACCGTTATCTCGCTCTGCGTGGAAACAACTAGCCTCAAAGGCTCAGAGGAGAACGAAAAGACGATGGGAGCAGCTACCAGCTGGACATGTCCCCGTGTTCCATAGTACCTTTGATAGAGTTTAAATATCATCAGTAGCAGAGATGAACTAAAGATGTACTTCCATGGGCTGCCAGTGAGGAGTTCCGGTGGAAGAAAGAGGAGATGTTTGAAGTGCTCCTACTGTCTGCTAGGCCTGGGAGAACATAACAAAATCTGCTTATTTGTTTCTTAATTATGGCTTAGATTTTATGAGATTAAAAACACATTTTCAATACATTCCAATGAAATCTTGACACCTAGATTGATCTAATGCTGGTACTGAAAGACTGGGAAACCATGCTCACGTTTGTAAATAGTATACCTCCAGCCAGCCTTCGATCCTTTTCTATTGGCACAAAATTTAGTTACCTTTTTTGGGGGTCAAATCTGCCACTGCAGAGGAGCTCTAGAGGCAAAGAGTCATTAACAGCCCCCTGGGTATGTAATGTGGTAAATGGCACCAGTTATAAACTAACTACAAACCAGATAAACTTATCTTGTGCTCTAAATATGTGTATTTCAACCATTTACATGTTATTACTGTTTTTTCTCACATTTTATTGCAAATGTACAATATTAATCAACACCTTGTGATCCTATAGCTTTTTTTTTTTCATTTTGTTTCTTTTCTCATTTCATTTTCATATATTTCATGAAAAATTATTTAGATTTGTTGTTAGGACCCGAGCCTGCCAGTACCTGATAGATGTTTTTGCGGCTGGTTGCAGGGATTGCTGTCCATCCTTCGCAAACTAAAAAGCACACCAGACCAGGAGGTTAGGATACTGCTGCTGGGTCTGGACAATGGTGGAAAGACCACTCTTCTCAAACAGCTGGCATCTGAGGACATCAGCCACATCACCCCCACACAGGTTACACACATGCTCACACACTCATCGAAGTGCCGAGTGGGGCTTCTTTAGTCTCAGTGTGTGTCTGCTCTAATTTCAGGGTTTCAACATTAAGAGTGTACAGTCTCAGGGGTTTAAACTAAATGTTTGGGATATTGGAGGCCAGCGGAAGATCAGGCCGTACTGGAGGAACTACTTTGAAAACACAGATGTGCTAGTAAGACCAGCCTGTTTTGTTATAAAGTTGTGGGTTTGTTTTGCTAATCGCAGCTGAAGCAAAATCTGATCTGTAGGAGCTTTCTTTAAGAAAATCAAATCTCTTTTTGTTTCAGATTTATGTCATTGACAGTGCAGATAGAAAGAGGTTTGAGGAAACCGGTCAGGTATGTACTGTTCTGGGTCAACGTCATCATTACTTTTTAATTTTTCATTCCGTTTTGCTTCACTAACCCAAAGGGGCATCTTTAGGTTACACACACACTCACATAGAAGTCAGGTTAAACAATAATAATCATTGATTTCAGCTATCTATCTATCTATCTATCTATCTATCTATCTATCTATCTATCTATCTATCTATCTATCTATCTATCTATCTATCTATCTATCTATCTATATATATATATATATATATATATATATTAGAACAGTTGGAAGATTGTAAAATGATTTCCAATAAATTAATGAATCATTGCTAATGTTTTTTAAGCTGACAGTTACGGTAATCATCTTTGTTCTGCATTTAAATATTTTCCTGTAAAGACTGTGTTTTTGAATATTTTTGTTAGTATGAATGGTGTCCTCCATTGTGTGTTTTTATTTTTCTCTAAATAGAAGCTTGAATATTTAAGCCAATACATAAAACTCATGTATCGTGTGTGTGTGTGTGTGTATGCTGTAGGAGCTGGCTGAGCTGTTGGATGAGGAGAAGCTGAGCGGCGTTCCTGTGCTGATCTTTGCAAACAAGCAGGACCTGCTGACAGCTGCTCCAGCCTCTGAGATTGCTGAGGGACTTAATCTGCACACCATCCGGGACCGCATGTGGCAGATCCAGTCCTGTTCTGCCCTTACGGGGGAGGGGATTCAGGTGTGCAGATAAGCTAAGCCCCGCCCCCTTCTTGCTGTCTCTTTTTTTATTGCTTCATACTTGTTTCACGGTGGTATTTTCTTTTTATCAGGAGGGCATGAATTGGGTCTGCAAGAGTGTCAACTCTAAGAAGAAGTAGCTTCACCTCTACAACTCAGGAGGAACAACACACACACAACACCTCCTGAGCCTTAGAATGATGGGCTTTACCTGTGAATGTACACACACTACTATCCAACATGGACTCTGTCACCTCCCGTGTTGCTGATGGGTAATGACCTCAGCATCTTCTGGTCTCCACGAAGAAGAGGGGCAAACCCATGTGAGGAAACCAGCCTCCCCTCTTCATTTTCCCATCCCAGCTGCCTCTAACATTCCCACTCCCAGGAATTCCAACATGTCCTTTAAAAAGTTTTACTTACAGTTCTGGTTACCAAACTTCATTCCCCTTCAGTCTTCATATGATCCTGTGTTTTTATTTTTAATCATTCCAGAGAGGCTTTAAGCGCTTTTCCTGCTGTTGCTGTTTGAAGTGGAGTATATTTTTGTAACAGTTTTATTTATGGTGAATTAGAGTGCTTTCATACATCTGCTTGTGTGGAGGGTCAGAGAATAAATGCAGCTTCTCCCCACTAAATATTACTGTGTTAATATGTATAAAAATAAGTTAAAAGTTTTATGAACACTACATTTTTAAGCAGTTGCAAATAGCTCGGCCCTGTGTCGTCATGCTCATGGTGTAGAGTGTTTGGCATTCTGCTGTACTGTTTAGTTTGTAATGTTTGCATAACTAATACGAGCTGGTAGATTTCTAACAGGTACTGTATGATCCGACGCGTTTCTGTGTGCTCCCAGGTAAGTGAGGGAATTCACTGGTTCACCTTTTGATATTTTTCAATGTAATCATTCTAGTTTGAAAGGTCGTGTATGTGAATACGATCAGAATTAAAAGTGTTTGAGGAACCTGCCGAGTTGATGTTCTTTCTGCATAAACATTCACCAGCTTTCATGCTCACGCAGTCAGGACCTCCCGGTGGAGATCGGCCATGTGTGGAGAAACGTCGGCGGGAGGCGAGAGCACAATAACACAAACAGCTGTGTTCTGATGGCAAATTAACATAAATTCAGGAGCAGTTTATCCCAAACATACATGAGCTTTAAAATTTTACATATCTTAGTAGAACAGCAGATTCACCACTCATCTGAGAATCTGCACCAGAACCATAACACTCAGAAGTAAATAGACTTTTAGACACTGGTACCTTTTAGCTCTGGTACCTGATTCCAGTGAGCAATAATATCAGTAGGTCTAGTAAACCGGAGCTGATCCAAGATCATTCATCTGCACGTTCCAACCTGCAGAAGTGTAACGGCCATCCTCAGCACACCTGGATTAGCTGAGCTGAGCAGTGGGACAGCTGGTAATGTCTGTGCTCATAAAACCTTCATTTATAACAATACTAGTATACTTACTTCAGATGAAAGTGTATTTATGTTTTTAAACATATTTATCTTAGTTTTCCTTCTTTATTTTATTCAGTTCATTTAATTTTTGAGTTTAGCTTAACTTTGTAACTGTCTGAATCAACCATTTGCTATAAAGCTGAACTGGAATATTCCATCCAAAACTTATTCTATGATTCATAAATAATGTACATATTTTCAAATAAATCCCCTTAAATTTGAACCTCAGTCGTTGAGCGTTTGTGTATGATGTCATGTTTTAAAAGAAGTGAGATCCCTGAGTGATGGGTGACTGAGCTAATTTCTATTTCCCTCTGGGATTAATAAAGTATTATTGAATTGAATTGAATTCCCTTTGATTGTTATTTGTTATTACTGCAGTTCAGTGTTACATTAGTGTTTTAGAAATGTTAAGTTTTTCTAAATTTTTCTAAATCTGTAATAATATCTATGTACTATGTATCTATGTATCTGTAATAATATCTATGTACCTTTTAGTTGGTTTTTTTTTTGGCTTTTTGTTCTTGTATTTTGTCCATTTAACTCCCCCTTTAAGGAAATCATGCATTGAATGTGGATATTTGACAAATTTGCCTCTAAAATATTATGGTTTTTCCAATTTTTGTTTTTGCATGTTGTCACTTTATGTATTGAACCAGGATTCAGCATGAAATGTCATTTAGATTTTCTTTTAATTTCAAAATTGTTTAAATTTAGCAGGAAACACTTATTTACTTGCTTTGTACTAACCAGTATTATGTTTTACTCCACCTAATACCTGTTTGTGCCACAGATGTCAGCTGCACATAATATGCCATCCCTCTGAGTGTGCGGTAACAGAAAAAAAAGCTCTGCTTTTTGAAATCAGATTTGATCTGTTCAGACAGGCAGGTGGTGCTGTGTTCAGCAGCCTGTGTGGGAGCCTCGTGGCCTGAGGCAGAGGAGGACAAGCCGTGCAACTCGATTCTTCACCTCAGCTGCAGAAATAAATATGTGGAAACAAACACAAGCCTCATCCACCTGGAAGAGCGGCTGTTAAACTCCAGACCACCCGCATGCTCCAGGGGCATGAGGGGTGAAACATCTGTTTGACAATCCCAGTCGTCCACCCAGAGGTGAAATGTAACTAAGGTCCACCCAACTACTGGCTCATGTTAGTATTAACTTGTTGTTAGCGTTAGCTGCAGCAGGCTGCTGCAGGGCTGTTTATGACAGTTGTAATTCCACTTTCAACCAGTGGGGTGAAAGAGCAGGAAACTCTTCAGTAACTTTAAGAAGCACCCTCCAATTTAACCCCAGCACCCCCAAAGGCGATTGGAGGAACACGTGCATGTGAAACTCAGAGTGATGGATCATATTTCAAAAAAAGGTAAACTCAGTGAACTTGTTCTTTGACAGGAAAGGTTAAAAAACATCAAATCATGACACCTAAGAATTTTAGAGCAAGGGTATTTAAGATGATAACTTCTTGGTTACTTTTCCATCTTTATCTGATCAGATCACCAAACACCTCTCTAGATGCTGACTGCTGCTAACAGCTCAGCAGAAAACATTTGGAGGTGTTCTGTCTAACATCTGCTGCAGGAACAGTGCACTGTTTGATTTGGAGTAGCACTGTGTGTGTGTGTGTGTGTGTGTGTGTGTGTGTGTGTGTGTGTGTGTGTGTGTGTGTGTGTGTGAATGAGGGCCTCAGAGCCCCTTCTTCTCATCTCACAAAGATTGTTATTGTTCAGCCTCCTTTCCCCTCACAGAGACAGAATGTACGAACGGAGCTCTCAGATTGAGATTGTGTCTCCTGGGGTTGAAGGAATTACAGATTATTTTTTGGGTCACCACGTTTGGTCTGTTCTCCCAACAGGTTTTAATGTGAGAAATATGTCTACCTAATTCTTCCCTGAACGTCATACATTTTTTGGCAAGTCATAATCAGAGGCTGCCGAAAAATGCATGCAACGACCGGTGGCGCCAGTGTTCGACAGGTCTCGCCTCTGTCGGTGTGCCCCAGGGCAGCAGTGGCTACATCATAGATCATCATCACCAGCGTGTGAAGTACCTTGGGGGGTTGTAGAATCCTAAGAAGGTGCTACACCAATAAAGGTCATTTCCAGGTCATTCAATTGTCATAAAGTGGAAAAACTCATTCCTGAGAGGAAAAAGTCTGAACTCTATCCCACACTGTTTGATGTTTGAATTCTGTGGATTTTGTGACAGAAGTCTGTTTGTTTACAGAAGTCAGGAAATTTTATCTTGGTTTCAATCAAAGAATGTCTGGTCAGACAGTAGGGTGGCTGCTGTAGATAAAAAACCTTATATAATGTTTTTTTTCACATTTATGCAACTGGACTTAAATGTCCGTTGAATACCAACTTTAATTTTCTGAAGTGTTTAATTGTACAGGATATGTCCATATTTTTATGTACAAGGTGACGTCTGTACAGTTCTACATGGCTGCACTGCACTGGACTCCAGCTGGGTCAGCCATTTACCTGCTGATATGAAACGTTATGTCTCTGAGCCGCTCGCCTCATTAAATAAATGTTCTCCTCCCCCTTTCTTCTAGTGATCGCAGTGGACAGGAAATCCTGCAGATTCTGTGTTTGCTCGTTCTCCTGAGCTGTGAGTCGGCTGTGTGTTTGTGTGCGCGCACAAGCGCACTTGCACTTGTTAACGACTTGATTTTTCACCGAGAAACTACGAGAGCGGGGGTGGGGTGGGGCATCTGTTAATCACTACCTCAGTGCTGCTCTCGGTTCGCTAGGTGACTCCTCTTTCAGGAACATTTTCTAACAGGAAGTGTGGGTGAAATAAGTCTCCACCCAGGGTGTGACTCAACCTTTAATATTCATGGACTCACCCATCTTGGCTGGGGATGGGGAAAGCTGTTGTTTTAACATTCAGGAATCAACAGAGAATGTCTTAAATAGTAGAGGCTAACCGATAGCATTAGCAACACCACTAAACTCCTCCAGGCTTGTGTTATTTGTACAGATCAATAATGCAAGTCAGTAGGCGAGTCGTGTAGCTGTTCTTCAATCTGAAGCAAGATGTCCAAGAATCAGGAAATAAAACTCCAAATCCTGCCGTGTTCCGCCACTCTCTGCAGCAACAGACTTGTTGTTGCTGCTCCAAGCATTTCTGTACATTTTGCCCCGAGTACGGCTTGCAAGGCATTCATTCCTACCAGAACAAGTGAACCACACCTTTAATTATCTACGAAAACACTATTTAGAAAAATAATCACCAGTTCTTCTGATAAACATATCTGGGAAGAAAGGCCATAATAATATAGTTTCATGAAAATATGTATGTTTTAATTTCTTAGTGATTGAGACCTATGGATACTGATGGATGAACTACTTACCAGACAGAGAAAAGGAGCGTTGGAGATGATTTATTTTTATGACATTTATTATTGAGCTTTAGTTATATTTGTGATACATTTGTGACATCATGGGTGTAATTTTCACTTTCCATGAGGCAGTTTGTATCTATTCATGATTTCTATACATTTTTACTGAAATGGGGTAGAATGAGATGCCATGTTCATGAGGTCTAGTGACCATACATTCAAGTACAGTGTAAAATGAAGATCTTTAGCTCATGAGTAGCAGAGTAAAGCTAATCTGGTAACTTATAGGGGTCTTCAACTAAAAACTGAATATTTTTAATGCCAGGTTAATTAATCTGCTCCATAAAGTGGATTACTTATGGAGGCAAATTCAGGTCAGATTATTTATAAATAATCCTGTGTCCATATTACTTGTACATTTGAATGAAGTCAATAAAAACAGACAGTGAGACTAAACAAATCGTTTTTTTTTGCATTATAATGTTTTGATTAGACTTTTATGTGTCTGCTAAAACCTTTAAACGAGAGAACAAAGACTTCTGTGGTTGTTGCACAGCTGAGTAAGAACAGTTTGTTTCTCTCGTGTGTGTGTGTGTGTGTGTGTGTGTGTGTGTGTGTGTGTGTGTGTGTGTGTGTGTGTGTGTGTGTGTGTGTGTGTGTGTGTGTGTGTGTGTCTCCTCCCATCTTTGTGGATCAAGCAGCTGTTCAGCAGCTGTGTGCACAAGTGTGAGAAAAAGTGTGTGTCAGGAGATAAAAGGGGGAGTGTTTGCTGGTGTGTGTGTATGTGTGTGTGCCAGAACCAGAGTCACAGAGAGACAAAAAAGCAGCGCTGTAATTTATGCTGCGCCTCCAACCCTTGACGTTTGCTGACATGAGAAAAAAGGCAACACATGAGAGTTGCGCCTCAGCTTGAGAGGAGAGAGAGGTGGGAGGAAGATAAAGGTGGAGCGAGAAGCAGAACGACTGAAACCTTTGGTTTTACGTGTTAGCTAACCACTACCTGCTGTCAGAGGGAAGGACCTGGCCCTCAGAAACTCAAACTGACAAGTAAACAAATTCATGTCTTCTTAAACTATGACAAATGCATGAGACAAAAGTTCTTTAGTGACTTTGGAAGCAGGAAACGATCATTTAGAATGTTTCAGTTGTGTTACATTTTCTCCCACGGCTGCAAAAGTTTTCTTTTAGCAGACAGATGACTCTACATGAGACTTTTTCCACCAACAATGAACTCGTCGACTAAAAATTAACCACACCAAGAGACCAATTATTGATTTCATTAGAAATGTCTTCATATCTACAGATTTCCCAACAAATCAGCTCTTTTTCAGTTTTATTCCCACTCTGACACACACACACTCCTCAAACAAGTTGATCATCCCTGCTATGTGAATGGCATTGGGGCTCAAAGTGCTGTCTAGGGAAAAGGAGTAATGCAGTACAACAGCTTAATCAGGCTGAAGGGAACACACACACGCACGCACGCACGCGCACACACACACACACACACACACACACACACACACACACACACAGCCTGAGCAGTAATTTTGAGACTTTCCACCCTGTTTGCTCTCTGCAGGCCTCCACCCCCGCACACCCAGGAGCCCTGAATGGACACAGAGATATTTAAAATTATGACTAAATGGGGTTTCCTGCTATTAATGTTTCCTTTAAGATAAACTAACTCAACAAAAGATCAAAAGTAGCTGAGATGACATGTTAGAGACTTTGTAATGTTAGAAGTAGAATAGGCTATTTTGTTCACTGGCTGAAGAAAGGCAGACCACTCACCATCTTTAATATGAAAGCTGAGAAATAATGGAGTCACAGACATGTTCTTCAAATGTTAAAATTATGTCACAAGACTTTATGTAATCAGTCATTACTTGGGTTCTATGTTGGAAAGGACTCTTTTCTGTGAAACAGCCAGAGTTGGAGCCATTTGTGAGTTTTCTAAAGTCAGTTAGTGGCAGCCATCTTGAATTAACTTTTTGGGAGTTTTGATGAAGTCCATCTAGTGATTAATGAAATCATGTTGCTTAAACCACTAACAGAAGTATACAAAACTAGAACTGAATAAATTGAAATAATCATTCTGACTGCACTCACATGCCTGGTTCCCATGATGCATCCTGTCTTTTCTGTCCAAATGGTTTAAAAGACAACAGGAAGGACTGAGCCTGGCCACCTTCACTTTTGATGTGGCTGTGAAGCTGGCATGTCCAGTGGAGGTGTTTTCAGTAGTGAACGTGGGTCCATGTGGAGGTCTGGACTGGTTTATGGCTTTTGTACACCAAACTGTGTTCAGACACCTTTCTACTGGAACCTACATGACCTTTATCCCAGTGATTCATGCTCCCCTTCTGGATGGAACAAGAGTCAGCTACCCATGATGTTTTCATCACCAGTTTCCCGTTTTAAATCTTTATGTCCTCATTTCTGCATACTGCAATCAGATGCTAAAATATGAGTTTTGTGGCTGTAGAACTGCAGGTCTTTCAACCTTCATAATACACCCTGAGGCTACAAGGCAACATCACATCTTACAAGTTGATCTTTATTACTATGTAGATTTGAACTTATGGGTTCACAAACATGTCTTCAGCAGAAAACCCCACTATATGTATGCATGAACAGCCACGGTGGGAAAACGTCTGGACCAGATTTTCCGCATTCTTCCAAAGTTCTGTGGTATTTATGGATGATAAAGACTTGTGTTACACATTTCTCCATCAGTTCAACACCTAATGCATGTTGGATAAATATGATTGAAGATGTTTCACCACACCCAGGTTCTTCAAATTTCTGGGAGCAAAGAGGGGAATCTTTAAAACCCCACTGCAAAATTAAAGATTTTAAAATTGCTCAAAAAAATCTAGGAAACACAGGAGGAAAATTTTACACATCTTTATGGGATTGTTAGGATATCTGGAGGGATCTCTGAACCGCTGGTACAGACAACAGGGTGTATACCAGGAATGAAATGTACTGTCAGAAAATAATGTTTATTAGCCAGTTTAATAAAACAAAAACAAAAAAACTACAAGCGGTCCTTCACTGAGGAACCATTTTTACTTATTATTTTTGAACACGACCTCCCTCTGAGTTTAACGTACAGGCTGAAAGTGACAGTCCTACACCTATTTCCTGCCTCAGCTTCTGATAGAAAATAGTGAAAATATCCACCTTATTCCTATAACTAACCACCAGTGAGCCTTAAATGCAACCAACTTCCGGTCTGTGTTTGTTCACGTTGAGATGATGCAATCCTTTTGTGCTAATCCTCTTTTTATGGGCTTTTAGAGACGCACCGCATGTGTGAACACCAGCTGTCACTGCTCAAGCAGGACACCGTTACACTCCTTTTGCACCAGAGGGGTTGGGAGGATGATCTTAAAATCTGGCCCAAGCTAACATACAGTAGCATTTTAGCTACTTTCTGAACTCAGTCTGGTCTGACAGCGAGGAAATTAATGGGCCATTCCCATCTCTACCTGGTCGGCCCCGCCCGGATAGCTCCAGTCGGCCCAAGCCTGGCCCGGTTGATTCCACACATCCTTGCTTAGGTGTGCAAGGAATGCAGTCAGAGACATATTCAGCTTCTAGGTAATCAGCATGATAATGAATGATAATGAATTGAGCATGCCTTAAGCCTATGTGGGCTGATTCTACCCACCAATCAGAGGCTTACTCTAACGGAAGGTGTGAATTTGCTGACTGATAAGACAGCTTATCAGTCAGCAGTGGGTGTGTTGGCACTGGTCAGCCTGAAGCAGACCACCTCAGAAAGAGGGCTGAAAAATAGTCTTGTTGCACCCTGAAAAAAGGCAGGCCACCAAGATATGTAGGCAGGCTATGCTATCCGGGACGGGCCGACCAGGTACAGATGGGAATGGCCCATGACAAAAGCTCAGAGGCTTATGTGTATCTTCATAGCAACAAGGTTAGCTCGCAGCCACACCCTCTTACTGCAAGGTGCATGTTCAAAACATCGCTCTTGTAGCCACAAATTTTATTTTCTCTGCTAACAGCGCAACCTCGTCCCCAGCCGTGAGAGTATTTTTATTGGTTTGAGGTATTTGCCCTGATCTTACTCATGTTGTGCAGCGCTTTGTGATTTATATCTGTGAAGGGCACTCTATAAATAAACTTTTACTTACTTACTTAATTATGTGCTACTTCTGGTAAGTCAGCGGATGTTGGTCCCTTCATCATAGCCAAGAAAAAGGTGGATAGGATTTGAAAAGCCTGACAGATCTATGTCACTTAACATCACCCATCTTGACTCGCGACTGGGAAGGATACAGTAGAGAGCGTCTCGGATGATAGAAGCTAACCGTTAGCATTAGAAACTCCACCACACAGCAGGACACCTTCAGGCTGTCAGTAGCAGTCACAATGCTGTTATCCAACCAGAGGTGAGATGTCCAAATATCAGAGTAAGACTCAAAAATCCTGTCGTCTGAAGCTACTTTCTCCTCTGGCTGAAATCTCTGTGCTCCAACAGGAGCATCAGAGCTTTTCTCTCCCCAGACTTTAGGCAGTCATTCCTACTACAGACCACTCCAAATGTATTAAAAGTATAAGCAAAGGACCTCTTTAAATGAATGTATGTATCCTATATGTGAAAGGGTGTAAGAAATAATCAATAAATTGAAATATTGCTATATTTCATGTTATGATACAGAATCGATATTAAAAAGCAGTGCATCAGCTTTTTATTGAGAATTTACAAACAAACATTTACGGTTATTTCTGTTGTGTGATGCAATCCAGACGAGATCTCACAATAACACTGGATGAGTCTTGGACGTGTCTGACCTGAGTTTCCATTCAGTCTGAAAAATGGCAAATGTCGTCTGGTTTTAGTATCGCAGTACATTGTGTCGTTAGGTATATTGTATCTCTAGATTCTTGCCAACACATACTCCTAATACTATGTGATAGTTTGGACATTTTAAAGTGTTACTGTGTAAATTTTTAAATAAATACCATCTTACTAGAGGTAGGCAGCTTCTAGAGCAGCCTCAGTTTGGAGAAACAGTCTGAAGCAGCAAAGTGGATTACTGCCAATTTAAACCGATGATAACTTTCTAAATGTCACAGCAGTTCATAGGAAAAACTGTAAGGTAAGACCGTCTTCATTTACAACTTTTACACAAAAATAACCAACATATTCAACTAACAAATCGTTTACTGAATTCTGATTCATGCGTCCTATTCTGAAATTAATCTGTAAATAGAAAAGAAAACCCAGTGATAATGAGACCTAGGTGGGTCGACGGGCTTAATGGGGGAGCATTTCGTAAATTAGCACTAAAACACGCAGCCTCGCGTCAATTCATTTTTAATCTGAGGATTTAAATCAAGATCATAAATTGTGAGCTGAGCCGATTTATTACAGCAACTAAAATATAGACTTTCACCACTTTTGTCCTGTAAAGGAGATGGTGGGATTCGCACAGGGACAGTTAACAGCAGACACCAGATTAAGTTTGTTTGTTTATTTGGAATCCTCCAAATCATGTTTCATCCTTTTCACAAAATATTTACAAAAAAAAAGATACTTTAGCACCCCCCCACCCCCCGATCGTCGGCTGTTGTAACAGCTCCTTTTTTAAGGATGATAAATGTTTGCTCACGTCTCTCAGTCAGGTTCTTTAAGAAAAGTCATGAAAAAACGTTCCTCCCGCCAGTTGTTTCATTCACACACTCATTTTAAAACAGCTCACAGTCCCTCCTGCCCTATTGTTCCTCTTCTGAGTACTTAAAAAAAACTTCCCTTGCATGCTTTCAGCTGCAAACAGGAAGCCAAGAGCTTGTGTGCTTTTTGAGAGGATGTGACATCTTTGTCCTGCAGGAAGTACATTTACAGCATCGTCAGATTGTCCAGATGCTGGATGGGTTTGGTCTGTCCACTCTAGTCTTTTTCTCTCCTATGGAACAGTCTCAGTAGGGAAACATGACTCCTACAGATGTACCAGATAACGCAGAGCGGTAGTAGTCGCTGAGAGGAAACAGTCTTCGTGTGATTTTCTGTCCTTCTGGGGCAGCAGGAAGGGATTTGGGAACAAGAGCTAAATTCTCAAAAAATGCAGAGCGTCAAGAGTCAAGCGGCCCTTAAGATGCAGCTCTATTGTCCTCCTGCAGGTCTGCATCTGTTGTCAAAGGACTAGCAAGGCGTCCACAAGTGCATTGTGGGTGTTTCCCATGGAAGAGCATTTTGTTTTCAAGCTGTACGATCCATCCCTGAACTCAGCAAAGAAAGGAAGAGATAACAAGATGCTAAAAAAAAAAAAAATATCAGGAAATAGGAGGAGGAGGAAGCCCCCACCCCCGGCCCAAAAATGATCAAACAAGGTGAACTATGAGGACCGCATAAGGCGGTCGGTCTCAGTCTGACAGGAGAGGTGATTTTATAAGAGAAACATGAGCTCAGCACTGCGTGGTATTATCTCCCGTTTCCTTTGAGCCTCGCCCAGAAGTAGCATGAAAGCCACTTTTCTAACAAGTTTTTTTTTCTATCAACTTCTTTCTTACTCTATAAATAAAAGATGAATCTCATCCTGTCCTCTCCAGGCTGGTCGTCATCATTCTGTGCGTTTTTGAGTATGAAACGCTGAGCCAAGTTGTGCCAGAGCGAGCCGTTGGCTGCTTGTGTTTCATCTATTATACACTACATGACACGCTGACTGAAAATAACCAAAGATAAAAACACAAAAAGATCAACCCTGCCCCCGAATGTGTGTTTAAATATAAACATCATCTTAATGTGTGTATGTGTAGATACATTTTTTTTTTGTATTTTCCAGATATAAGTCTGTAAAGGTGTGCTATTTTGGTGCCTGTCTCAAGATCTGTGTGTGTGTGAGTGTGTCTGCTGTGTTAACTGGTAACGTAATGCTTTGTAGAAGGTTGCCCATACAGCCCATAGAAATCTGCATGTCTGTGTGTCTGTGAGGCATCTATCCAATCCCTCACCGCCAAGCCCTGCATGGATGGGCCTCCTGAGGCCAGGCCAGGAGGAGGGGGGTAGTCCTGGGGGCTAACCCAGGGAAAGGAACCAGAGCGTGGGTATGGGGGATGGCTACGGTGGCCTGAAACAGAGGGCACTCCGGAGCAGTAGCAGTTATCCACAGTACACATGAGGATCTTGCGGCCGCCGTACTGAGGCAGCACAGCCTGCTGGGAGGAGTGGGAGGAGCTGCTGCCACCAGGAGGGAAGTGCGAAGAGCTGAACACAGAGCCAGAGTGGTGATTGGTCAACGAGCCGCTTCCACTCCCGTTGCTGCCGGTGTCGCTGATGTGTGGCGGGGCACAGGGGCCGAGAGTCTGCTGATTGGTGGACTGGCCCTCTCCAGAGGTGGCGCCAGAGCCCAGGTAGTGCTGTTTGGCTAATGAGGAGGAGGAAGACGAGGAAGATGAGGATGAGTCCTTAAAGCCTGGAGCTGGGGTCTTCCCAGCGGTCCCATTTCCCTCTGGAAAGGCAGTGGAATGTTTCCGCTTCTCTGCTCCGGAGCCGGAGCTCTGACCGCTGGGAAACGCAGCGACGGACTGCAGGAAGGAGGATGGAGGAGTGAGGGGAACTAAGGGAGAAGAAGAGGTGAAAAATCAGAGATGAATAAAATGAAAGCAGAATGAGAATATAATCTGGGTTACAGCTATAATAGGCCCTACCTTCCAGAGTTCGCTTCAAGCTCTTCTCTCTCTTGGAGATCTCAGAAAGAAACAGTTTAGAGTTTAGATTCCCAACCTTGTAGGGAGGGAGGCTGCTTCCTACACACGCCTGAGACCTGCAACAGGAAACGTGCAAACATCAGGATCAGTGATCCCTCTGGAAACCTGTACGTTATGCTGGACAGCTCTGTCCTCCCACCTGTCAGTGAGGATTTTAACAGGTTTGGTGTTCTTCATGAAACTCAGCTCCTCCGCTTTGCTGAAAGCCGTGTTGATGGAGCTCAACAGCTTCTGGGCTTCATGGCGCTGCTCTCCCAGAACCAGAACCTGGGTTGAATTCTCCTGGAAGAAACGGGCCTGAGCCCGATCCAGAGCCTCCAGCGTACGGCCCAGGTCCTCCTCCAGGAGCTGATGCATTCGCTGGTACTGCAGGCGCACCTCCTCCTTCAGCTCACACACCCTGTCCTGTAGGCACAACACAAACATCTAAACAGTTCTGCTCGAGGAGAGTAAGAGACATGACGCGTTTCAAACAAACCTCCACTGAACACTTGTCAGAGTCGAGTTTGCAAAGCTGCTCCTCGATCTCCTGCACTCGCTCCTCCACACGCTCCTGCTGCTTCAACAGGTTTTGCTGAAAGGAGAGAGAGAGAGAGTATTAGGCCTTTGGGACGTCGTAGCCTTTGCTAGCCACTAGCATCCACTTTCCATACCAGAGATATTAGAATTCCTGGAGCTGGCTAATTTCGTCTCTATCCAACACACAATCCCTGCGGGGGAGGAAGGGGGGGGGGGGGGGCTGCTGTCATAGCAACCACCAGCTATTTAGCGTTTGCATTAGTGAATGAGGACCAAAGTTGGGGGAGCTGGAGGCAGTGAGCAGAGATAGAAAAATGGTCTGGAGAAAAAAAACCTCCAGCCTCCCCTTGTGCACCTCCTGTCCTCACACAGCCTGCCTAAAAACATCAGAGCACACGAAGGAGGTTGCTCTGAAGCAAGGCCATGCTCCAGCAACAGCACCTGGTTGTTGAGATTGTGATGATGATACGTGAACAAAAACAGCCTAAAGGAGACCACAAACCCGGCAGAATTTAACACAAAATCCTTGTTTGGCACTTACTGACGACTGTTGCAGCAGGTTTTTTAACCAACCTGAACAAACTGTGCATAGGTCGTCTTTGCTTGCCTGCTAGCTGACAAATCCTTAATCCACATTATTAAAGATGATTCTCAAATGAATTTGGGAAATATGTATCGATTATTCCAGAAATGTCAAATTTAATCCCTTTCTAGGTTGATGACAGTCAAAAAAGTTTAGCAGCAGTGAATCAATACATTTATATTACCTATAGAATAGAATAGTGATGCACCGATATGAAATTTTTGGGCCGATACCGATATTAAGATCACTGTTTTGGCCGATAACTAATATTTGCAGATACCGATATACTGACATTAATGCTTCTAAAATCAGCAGATTTTGTATAGAATGAAAATTATTAATGCTGAATTTACGTTATTACGTACACACACACACACACACACACACACACACACATTTATGGTTCTGAGATGATTACAATCACTGTCACACGACTAAACAAATACACATCACCCTCTGAAACAGACAGACAAATGGAGACGAGATGAAAAAATATCGGTTGTTAATATCGGCTCGGTTTTATCGGAGAGATACCGATATGTTAAAAAATGACTGAACATCAGCCGATACTGATGTTGATGCCGATATATTGTCCATCCCTAGAATGGAATAGACTTTATTGTAGTTGCTTCAGGAACATCTAAATTGCGGGTGGTCTGCCAATGACTTTACACAGGACATAAGACCAGAACACAAGAAGTGTCTAACACATAGAAAACATCCAAGAGCCTTCTTGTTATTTGGACAACATAAAAACCTTCTATGGTACAACAGCAGGTTATCCTTAATTATGACTCTTTAGACGACTTGACGTGGCTTCATCAGAACACGGGAGCCTTTTCTGACCTATGATGGTTTAAGTATCTATAATCCTGATGAGAGCCCTTGCACTGTAATATTAATGCATGCTGTGTTATGCAATATTGCCCTTAAGTGCTACCTCCTTTTTTATTTTATTTATTTATATTCCTTTGCTTCTTTTCTTTTTATTCCTCTAAACCCCTCCCCTGTTCATGCACAACTGATAACTGACTTAAAGGCATAACTACAGGCCAGAAGTACGTCTCATTTCTATCTTGGTGTGTTTGGTTTCTTTATATTTGTGGAAAAGCTTAATAAAAATATCTAAAAAAATAACACAACAGAGTCACTCTGCAGTCACGACTGCTGTCATTGCATTGTCACATAGTAAACACAAGAAGAAGCCAATAAACGACTTTCTACGCTCAACAAGAAATTTTGTTTTTCAATTAAAAGACTGCAAAATATGTTCAATATTGTATTTATTATTACTGTGAACATGATTGTGAAGATTACGTCTAAAACCACAGATTTTACATAAAAATAGACATGTCTTTTACTTGCTCTGGGCTTAGCTCATCTTATGTTCAAATATGGCTGCTTTGATTTTCATGAGACTTACAATACATCTTATTTAGCACTAGTCAAGCTTGTGATGAGTTTCATAAACCTAGTGTTAGTTTTAGAGATCTGACCGTAAACAAGACGAGACGAGCAGTTTTGGTGCGTTATAGACCCACGCTGATTGGTGGAATGGTGCCATGGTGCAAACTATGACTAGCTTGATCTCTGATTGGTTGAATGATATCTCGTAACTCTAAGAGCCCGTGAAAACGTACACCGACATCATTTATGATGTGAGTGGAAGTGTCTACAATGGCCCTGTAAAGGGTTAAACTCGCCAACAGTGCAAAGTGACCTCATCTATTAATCTATTCTTACACTAATAGTTACATAATCTTGTATGTTACACTAACATGTGTGTGTGTGAGCGTGAATGCACCACTGCAAAAATCTAGTCACCATCCCAAGGCATTACATTAATCCTTTACAGCATGAATAGATTTTTATTTGTAGAATCATCATTTTCAAATGAATATAAAATATGCACGTTCTGGTCAAGTTTTTAGAGATGGATTCAAATCTGGCTGATCTGTGTCAGCATTCAGAACCTGAGTTGAAGAATCTCTGTAGAATCTCCAATTCCCCAAATTTGAAAGCAGTTTATTTTAGAAACCTTAACAGTAACACCAGTTTTTAAAAACATGAAATACATTTAGAAATGTTCCTGCTGGATGTGACCACTGATGCTCCAGAAGTGATTTACATCATTATTCATGTTTGTAAGTAGAAAAAAGATGGAGAGGCTACGAGACACCTCAAACCTATATACTTCTCCATTAGCAGGTTTACACACACACACACACACACACGCACACACACACACACGTCCTTTTACACTTCTCCATTGTCAGTGTCGGGAAGCAATTCTCCACCAGGACAGCAGGGGGCGAAGTGCTTTTCTGGGGTAACCTGCCATCCTTGCAGTTATGTCTCTAGTGTTTACTATAGTGTGTGTACACAGTGTTTATGTATTTCAGAGACTTTAACAGATTTGTCCCTCATTCTCCTCCACCTCTTCATGCAGCCACCGCTTCATAATTTGTCCACGAATAAAAAGTTTGCTGCGTATCTGTGTGTTCCTTCAGCTGCATTAACATTTATATCGTCAAACTTTTTCTGTGAGACCTTCTTCAATCTGACCCGTGACTGCCACTAAATATCTTCATCTCCTGTTTAATTTTTTTTGAAGAGGGATGGCGGAGCAGTTGAAGCGGTCTCCAGACGGATAGTGAGAAATCCTTAGAGATCGCTGGTGTTGGTGGCGTCACTTCCTTTTATCCCCGGGAAGTAGAGGGTGACACCGTCCTCTGCTGCCCGTGGCAGATATACATGGAATGAATGTAAAAAAAGATAGTTAGAAAATTAGGCTCTACTTCGTTCATCCTTGTGAGCCTGTTGGGAGCCCTTGGGACCACGTCTAATGGCGGTGTGTGTCTGCCCCTCCACAGATGAAAAAGTATAAACTAAAGCTTTAATCCTGGATCAGAGCTGTTAGTTCATCCATTCTGTAGGATGTGAACTCCATTTCTCCAAACACAGGCCATTCAGGATGCTATCTTCAGTGAGTGTGATCGTAGCTTAAAAATGACCAAACATTCCTTTAGAAAATCACCGAATAAAAATCAAATCAACAAGTGAATGATCGTTTGTCCTGTGAGTTGAAGGTTTGTTCATGCGCCCTCCTCATCATCATTATCCAGTTATTCTAACTCACAGCAGCTGATTTCATCGTTAGCGATCAGCAGCTGTGGAGCCTGATAGGAAAGAAAACCGGCAGACTCCTGGGCCTCTGCAGCACATGGTTGGAAATCACTGCCCTACATATCTCTGACACACACACAGTTAAATCCAGGACGATGACCTGGTTGTGCTGACTGATTGAGTTAGGCTCTGAGCAGAAGCCAGAGGAAGACTACGGGAAGGGGGGGTCAGCTAAATGTGTGGGATACCTTTGGGGGAAGGGTGGGGGGTCATAAACATGGGAGGGTGCACTTCAGCTGTCATTTCTCCACAGCGTGTTTTCCATCAGAACAGGAGAGGAGGGCTAGGGGGAAGGTCGATCCTCACTCAGAGTGGCTGGTGGGAGGGAGGTGAGTTTGGGGGGGGGGGGGGGGGGTACTGATGGAAGTGAAGAGCAGGGTGAGGGCTGTAGGGTGGTGTGTGCGCTTTAATCATGAACATCATGGAGGATGCGTTTGTTTTGCACAAGGCTCCTGTTGAGAAGCTGCAAATGTGTAAAAAGGATTTAAACTTACAAAAAATGTGAAAATGAAGCCATCAGTTTGAGAGGAAATGCCTAAAGATGTCTACCCACTTGTTTTAAAAAGATAAACAGACTGTATAAACCCTTTTAAATGCGTAAAAAAGCCCCAGTCTGGTTTCAGTAAAAGGGAGTTTGAGAGATGGAGGTAATGGTTTGTAAATTAGCTGCAGCATTCTGGCTGTTGCAGAGAAGAAAATGCTAATTAGATGCGTTTTTAATTAAGTGGTGTGAACTGATGAAACGGGTGGTTGTACAGTAGAAGTGACACTGATCGTGGCTCTGACAACAGACAGAGATCAGAGCTCATGGTCACCGTGGTGGAAAATTCAGAGCTGTGTTGCAAGTCGGGTTTTTAAATCAGGCTAAAATCTTCCAGTGACCACGCTCCGTCCCCAGGTGACTATTTAACTCTGTATAAAGCTGAGTCATTACATTACCAACAGGAAATACACACCACAATGTCATGGTTTACACCCAAACGGGGTGTATAGTGAACTAGATGAGTCAGGCAGCAGAGACGATTCTCCTCGTGCCACACATCAGTTAAAAGTAAAAGGGAGGAAAACCAGTCCAACCTCTGTTCAAACCAGCGATGGTAAAAAGCAAGGGAAGGGAAGAGGTTAATAAAAATCCCAAGTAGACTGCAGAAGCAAGTGATGAATCACTTTAATCCCACTCCACTCCCCCCTTGGAACAACTGGTGATCCCTGAGCTCGGATGCACCTGTGCCGGGGAGATAAGGCCCTCTGAGGGCCCCTCATTGTTCCGCCATCCACTGCATTGTTTGTCATTCCAACAGATGAGAACGGAGGCAGAAAAAATGCAAGATACGGGTCGAAAATACTCAACCAGTTCATAGTAACTGGATAATTGGATTGAATGTCTATTAAAAAACAAATTCCCACCAAAACTATTCTGCTTTTAGATTGTGATATGACAGAGAGGCATTACGTTAAGTCACTTGTTCTTTTGATGTTTGATAAATACAAAAAGAATAAATCCCTGCGAGGGTTCGTGTGATGTCGTTACAATTACACTTGGGCAACACTTATTGATCACCGATGGGCAAATTCCTGCAAAAAGGGCTGCAACAATCGATTACCCTCCAGATTAATGGTTAGTCAGTGCATGGTGGTAAAAACCTGATGAGCAAAAGAAGTGCTGCAGCTTTCCAAAGCTCATGATGTGATGACTTTTTGAGTCAAAGTTCTAAATATTGAAGTTGTTCTGACTGACGATGGCAAGAAGAGGATTATTTCTTAATCCAAGCGGAAAATAGTGAATTTTCTACTGTTTATGCTAAAAATAAAGTTGAAAGACACCTGATCTGCTCGTTTGTGTCAACTGAAACATAATGTTGTTTAACACGTCTTACTCTGATGTCGTTGCGCCGCAGTTCCACGTCGGTGACGGCGTGGCCGTGGCTGGGGTGGCAGCGGGCAAAGCAGCAGTACTGACACACCGCCGTCTGCTCGGCCTCGCAGTGGTATAGCCGGAGTTCGTCGTGCTGCGGGCACGTCCAGGCCTTCACCGCCTCCGCTTCCACCAACAGGTGCCCGAGGGCTGAGCACGGTTGCTGCAGGTGTGTCTGGATGTGGGACTGGCAGCATGGAGCGTTGCAGCGCAGGCAGACCTTGACCGCAGGGAGTGGCGGGCCACGGCGGCACAGGATGCACTGCAGCGCCGGAGCGGTAGCCTTCTCCACGCTCAGGGCGTTGTACTTCTCTACTATGTTGGACAGTTTGTGGTTCTTCTCCAGGCTGGGCTTCTGTGTGTATGCATTGTTGCACTCAGGGCAGCGAGCCAGCGAGGAGTCTTTGGCCCAGGCCTCGCTGATGCAGCCCCGACAGAAGTTGTGCTTGCAGGGCAGCTGGATGGGATCAGAAAACACGTGCAGGCAGATGGGGCAGATGAGCTCCTCCTCAAAACAGTTCCTCCACGTCTCAGCCATGTCAGAGGCCATCATGATGCAGACAGGCATACAACTCAAACTTTTCCACCTCTTCCAAAATCCCCTAGGCCTCTGTGTCTCTCAGAGGAAACCCAACACTCATAAAAGATCCAAAGCTGTCCAGAAAGATCAATATTTATCTGCAAAAACCCTCCGAATTAGACAAAGCGCACAGACAGAAGACGAATATTGCTTATTGATGCAGCATGAAGGCAAATTCCAGGAAACTAAGCAAAGCGGAGGCTCCAGGCAGAGATGACAACACCTTTGGTGTTTTAAAAACAAGGAGCTGACGTTATGCAGATTACAGGAAATGGTGCTTTTCTCCCTCCACAGCAGACTCACACAAGGGGCCTGTGGGATGCAAAGAGCCCGTCTGCTACAGATAAACTATGGGTTTGCAAACAAGGCACAGAGAAATAACCGTCAACAGGAATACATTCGATCACGAGATGCATCCATGTGACACATTTATAAAAAAAAGACTCCTGATGTTTACTGCTGCCTGCTCAGGCCTTAGCAGCTTTCTCCCCACTTAAAGGTTGGAGTATGATTGACTGTGAGCCAATTCAGACCAACAAACCAAGCATGAAAAACACAGCTCAGGTCCGCACCCTGGTTACTATTTACACACAGCGCTTTAAAACGCCGATATAGGGTTTTTTTTCTCTCCCCAGGAGCTCAAGGACGCTCTCAATAATCACAATGCAGCGAAATAATTTTCTCCCCTACATTATGAGTATCTAGAGAGCCGTAGCCAGCTTTTTAATTAGACACGTGATGCGATGGCTGGGCAGCACATATACGTGTATATAGATAAATATAAGTGCTGTTGTCAGATGAAGGAGGAGGAAGCCACCGGGGTTTTAATTAGACATAAAGGCGACACAGATGTGCCTGCTATGTGGCACAGTTCGCCTGTCTGTACACAAGGCCGCAGCTTTTAAACCGGGTTTCTATCGACAACAAAGGCCTTATAATCTCATTAGACTGGAAATCATAGCCAGGTCGTCGTTCCGAGCCTGTTTACTGCATAGTTAATCGTTTTAATGGTCCAGTCCAGCTCCTGCGCACAAAACAAAGGGTTTTAGGATCCGCAGGAATGTTGGCCGCTGTTTGCTTCTCCCCTCCTCCTCCTCCGACACATCTATCAAATATCTCCTCACACAAAGATTGGTAGCATTATTTATGCCCGCCGTACCGTCCGCTCGTACTTTGGTCCCCACCTTATTCGCCTATGAAAGCCTCAGCCTTTAGCCAACAACATATTTATCTACTTCCTTATCTCGATTAAATCGCGTAAATTAGCTCAGACGTCACCTCACCATTTTCTATCACAGCACAGGTACACAAACTCCCGATAGAGGCCGTTTTCAGACAAGGACGCTCGCGGCTACAGGAAGCTAATTTGATATATTTAACTAATAAAATACAAAGATATACCCTCCTTAGCTTAAAAGGGACGTCGCGGTGCTGTCCTTGTTGGGGCTAGCTGTCATCAGCCATTTTGCAAATCCTCATTTTAAAAACAGAGGAGAAATCCGCCGTAGAAAGACTGTAGGCTGTTTCACCATAGCGGCTTTTCGATAGCTGACCTACACACATATCAAGGCGAAGTCCCATCATAGAGAAAATAAAAACACGCCATTTTTTCCGTGGTAGTTCCGAAGGAGTCGTCTGAAAAGAGGGTTATGTTTCGTGGCCTGATGTGTCCGAGTCGATTCCGTGGTTCATAAAAAATCCCATACGGTTGTGAATAATAATATGTGTGTTTTCGAACCCCCCTTTTTCTTTCTGTCTCTATCCGCCAGGCTGTGAAGACGAACAGGAATGCAGACGAGCTGAGTTAACCTGAGTCAAGAGCAACGGGCGTGACGCGCAACTTCCGGGAAGGGTTTTCAAAGTAAAATCCTTCTCGCCTCAAAAATTCAGCTCATGAGTTAACTAGCTAACAATAAATAGTACAAGTCCATATTTTAATTTACAAAAATAGAGCTAAAATGTTTACATCAAGTTTTGCGTCTGGTTCATTTTAAAATAGCTGTTTTTTAAAATCAAACTTTATTTATAAAGGACTTTTAGTACGTTTCAGTTTGAAACAAATGCTTTAACTTTAACGCAACAAACAAAAACCAAAACAAAAAAAAATAAGCTAAATAAAATAATGGCCACAATTACAAGTTAAACAGTACATTCGAAGCAATATAAAGATTAAACAGTTATAACAAATATTTATAAACCAAATTGACTGGGGTGTATGGTTTTGTTATAATACCAGAAGTATTACAAACGTTTAAAAAAATAATGGTAACGCAAACACAAATTCTATACAGTTAAGAGTATTTCAATCTGATCCACTTTTATTGATTACAGGAGCAAAAATATAATTTACTATAATGCAATCACTTTATTTGGAACAATTTTGCTGTTTTGTGCAGTGAATATTTTCTTTTTTTTGTTGTTGCTTTACTCAGAATAAAGTAATACATCTTACTGAAATGTATGGCAAAGCTAGATGAATATTTACTAAGTGTAAACATAAGCAGACTGTGCATTTGCTCTTAACATTATCAGGTTAACAGACCTTTGCAAACAGACATGCATTGACTGACAGTGCAAAAGAACATGAGGCTCTGAACCAGCTGTTGGTTTTTGTTGCATGTGTACACTCAGCTGTCGCCTCAAAAACAGCTGGTGGCTGTTGCTTCTTTCAACAGCAAATTATTGTGTGACACCTATGCTATTAAGTACAGGGTAATAAACTGCTGGACCGATCTAGGTTCTGAAGTGACTAAATGAGAGCCAGTGACTGTGACCTTTAAATGGAAAAGCCAGCAAATTTAATCACAACATAAATAACAAACAAAGACAAGCAATAAACAGATAAATGCAAATTCAGTTACTTGAGGTATGCTTAAGAATCACCCTTTTTAAGTTTTTACTTTTACCCTTTGGGTTAAAGATCTAATAAAGGTTTATTTCTAAATTCCTAATCTAATTTCAAGTTTTATGTTATGACCGCTCATCTAATTTTGAGTGTCTCAATTGCAAACTTACTTTGGATTTGCCCTAACTTATGTTAAATTGGAATTAGGTTCATGCAATTAATTCTTTTCAGTTTACACGATTCATTCCATTCATTTTCCCCAAAAAATGGTGTCACACTCAAAATCACACATTAGGTACCCTTTAAAAGTACAAAAGAATATAGGTGCATATAGACAATTACATAGCAACATAAATACAAAACATCTGAGGTCTTGTCCTTAAGCTTAGCAAAGTCTCAATTGTCCATAAGCAATATGAACGACTTGACGTGAGTTCCTCACGTGAACAAATCCTACCCCAACCTTGGAACTGTTTGGAGTAAAGTTGGTGAAAGCAGGACTTCGAGTGTGCCTCTGTGAAGCTCCGCTGATCCCGAAAATGGTCCTGTTGGGTTTTACTGACTCGCCTCGATCCTCAGTTCAGACCCAAGTCAAATCCAGATATGAGGACTTGATGGTTTCCGGGGTGAATAAAAAAAAAAACTGGCTTGTTGAGCAGGCCAACAAATATCTTACAAATTGAGACAGGACCAGTCACCTTAAGCTTAGAATGACAAAACAATCAGATTGTACAATAGTTTTTAGTATGTGTCTCTAGACTTACTAATGGGGGTCAGGGATAGGAGAGCAATCTGTTACATTTGTCTGATACAGTGGGTTATCTGTAGTATCAGTAATATTTGGTCATTTGTTATATATACTTTATCATTGCCATTGTCAGATTTAAAATATAAACTTAAATATAAAGCGAACATAATACAAATGTAAACAGTCACATGTTCCCGCCAGAGAATGCTGCTGTTGTGTCCTTGGGCAAGACACTTAACCCACCTTTGCCTGCTGCTGGTGGTCAGAGGGACTGGTTGCGCCTGTGTTTAGCAGTCTTTTCTCCGTTAGTGCGCCCCAGGGCAGCCGTGGCTATACTGTAGTTCATCATCACTAGCGTGTGAATGTGTGTGAATGCGTGGATGAGTGTTTGTGTTGTGAAGTGCTTTGGAGGGTTTTATCACCCTAAGAAGGCGATATACAAATACATTTACCAAGGTGTCAGGATTAACAAGCTTAATGTAAAGGTGCTGGTGTACACTAATTATCACACAGAATCACTTTCCGTTTAGGGATGGCTCTTGCAGAAAAGCTGTTTAACAGCCTGGTGGATCATGTTTTTATTGTCCTGTATTGTTTACCAAACTTTTACTCTAATTTAGTGACGAACAACTTTTGACTTATCAACCCTTTCTGTGTTTGACTTAAACACTAATGTCCTGAGATCAAACATGTATGAAATGAGACAAAACAAACAGCAAAAGCATTCTGAGCTTTATTTTGAAGCCTTGTCCCAGTGCTTCCTGTCTAGTTTAGGCGCTCTCTAGACAACTTAACGCGCTTTTTCTATACAACATCAGCCGCCCCCTTTTTCCTTCTTACCCCATTACCATTTCGATTGTCACGTGATTTGTACGAACCGGGGCGGAAAAGCCCGGACTTCCACTGGCGTTACTGCGTTTATAATAAACCTGGGGTTTTCTTGTCTTGGTGATCCGGTATCCATCACATTTAGTGGTTTCTCTTATTCATCACACTTGATTGCCATGTGCAGACCTGAATCTGTAGTCTCCGGTTCTGCAGCCATTCACTATTGCTGTAGAAGCCTGTTAAGCACCTGCTGATTGAAATCAAGTGTGTTTAAAGAGCAAGTAACGTCTAAATTAACTTTTTTTTGCTGATAAACTGTATAAATGAGTGTCTAATAGTGTTTTAAATGTGTGTATTCATTATTTTAGCATTTTGGGGCATTTTCTTTAAACATTAAAAATTCTGCCTAAATACCACAGTATAGCGCCACCTTCAGCTTAAAACATAGAGTTTGAGTCATTTTGAATACACTTTAGCCAATGGCTAAAGAGTAAGATACTAAGTAAACCAGTAGAGTACTACGTAGCAGCTCTGTGTCAAAGTTATAAAGCATCGAGAGTCTCGGCCACGCCTTGTGGCGAGTTGGGAGTTGGATTTGCAAGCGAGTGTCGGACGGTTAGCGGTAGTTCAGCATTAGCATATAGCATTAGCATATCCTAATCTTTAGCATAGCTTTTAGTGATATACATACTTATTTAGTGTTAGCATGGCTGTTGGATATTGTAGTTTAGTTAGTGTTTGGCTGTTAGTGTTATTAGGAAAGTAGTTCGGGTTTAGTGTTCCATATCGTGTTAGTATGGTGAGATGGTGTAGTGTAATGGGTTCGGTGGCTCTGTGGGGTTGCACTCCTTTCCACTGTACTTAGAAATTAGGCGCCAGTGGTTGCGCGCAATCAGTGTACAGGAAAAGTCAGCTCCCGCCTGGTGCTGTAGTATGCAACCAGCATTTTACCCACGATTCCTTCGCCAACATGATGGAGTTTGAACTGGTTTATTCTGCACGTCTCCGTTTGAAGAGGGAGGCCGTGCCCACCATGGCTCTTCCACGATTTAGGTGCAGCCTACCGACTCTGCTTCCCCATCATGGCGGGCTCCAGTTTGAGGTAAGTAAGCTAAATAAAAGTTTTAACATCTTCTAAAGACAATTCCCTACCTAAATGCAAAGTTTGAGAGACATGGTTCACTTAATTTAGCTAATATCAGTCTGCACTGCCTTCGGGCTGATTTGTCAAGTTCACAAAATGTGGAACGGGATGTAAGGTTAGAATCAGCGGCGAATCGGAACATGTCTCGAAGCCCTGGCCGACGAAACGGTCCACATGACTATTATTGTCAGGCTCGGAGAAAATTCGGGTTGTTTTTGTGTCAGTCGGTAATTCTGCAACAGTGGCTCTAACTGATGCAGCAATAGTTGACAGACAGCATTACAGCGTGACCCAGTTCTGTAAGGAATTCTGTTCAAGAGGTCGCATTTTAGGCTCTTCACATCATATATGACTGACTTTTACGTTATAATAACGATCACACACTAGGAATGTTATAAAGCGCCCATAAAGGACAGTTTCTTTTGTATATTATCTGACTTTATAAACTCCAACAACAATGTGCTTCTATTTTTTTTTTCAGGCTAAATCTACCCAAGACATTGGCCGTCAGACTGATTTAGTAGTCTGCAAGAATGCACTTGTCCAGGCTGACGTGAAGCCTTACCCGTAGCAAAGGTGAATTATTTTTAATAATCTTCTATGTAAACATTTTATTATCACCTTCTAGTTTTAATTTGTTGTACAGATTATTGTTACACGTGATTTTATGCTCTTTTAAACATTTGTAAATGTGCTGCTGCTTTGTTTTTTACATAGCCACCCAGTTTAGAGCTCACAGCCGCAGTGTGTCTTGTGACACAGGGACCGTGAGGAAATTCATCTTCCAGAAAGTCCCAGAGCAGCATCCACACCCCTGAAAAGACCAAGATGTGAGGTGTCTGCTGTTGATCCCAGCTTCCACCTCAATGACAGTGCAAGCTCAGTGAACTGTTCAAGGTAAAAAAATTATAACATTTCAGAATTTTTAAAATATTACCATATATATAAATGTATGTGTTCTGTACAGCTCTTTCACTGAGGTCCATCCACAAAAGGACAAGAAGTACATTGTTCACGAGGAACAGTTGCTGGGGCTGTTCAGAAGGTGTCCCGTTTGTACCGGTCGTTGTGTTGTGAACACAACGACAATCGGCACACTGCTCCATGTGACACAACGGTGTTCATGCTGTGAGCACTATAATGAGTGGTCCAGTCAGCCCATGGTGAACAGCATCCCAGCAGGAAACCTCCAGCTCTGTGCTGCTGTCCTTTTCACAGGCTCATCATTTAGCCAGATTTCTAAGGTATAGCCCAAAAATGTTT